GACGGATGACAGTAAAATCTCATTTCAAATGACTGGTTTTATGGCAGATTCCTGCACATTTAGACTGGTTTGGCTGGTGTACTTGGGATGCTTTTTACACTCAAGTAAATCCACAAGGAATCAAAGAGGGCCTTCAAAGGTACAATAAGAAAGTAGAGAGCCCTCTGTATGTGGGAAGAAACCAATGTATTTAACTGATGGAATTTTATTAATGTTGTTTATTTGCACTATGTTTTCTAACAGTTTCTTAGAAGGTGGGTGTTCACCAAAGTTTCTTATTATTGATGATGGATGGCAAGACACAGTGAATGAATTTTGCAAAGAAGGTGAACCTCTTATCGAAGGGACACAGTAAGTTTAATCTTCAATCTGACAAGTATTCCTCCTGTTTTAACCTGAAATGGTAAATAAGCATTTGCACTTCTTCCTACCTACACAGGTTTGCTACTAGATTGGCAGATATCAAAGAAAACAGAAAATTCAAAAGTTCAGGTCCAGATGAAGACTGCACCAATTTGCATGAATTTATTGATACCATCAAAGAGAAATATGGATTAAAGTAACCATTCCTAGCAATCTGGATGTTGAATTTCAATTTTTTTTCCCCATAGAGATTCTTCTATTGTTATTGTTATTGTTATTGTTATTGTATAGTTAACCATAGAGAAAATCTTGATAAATGCAGATTTGTTTATGTGTGGCACGCTTTAGCTGGTTATTGGGGAGGGGTTCTTCCATCATCTGATTCAATGAAAAAGTACAACCCAAAACTTGTATATCCAATTCAGTCACCTGGTAATGTGGGGAACATGAGAGACATTGCAATGGACAGCTTGGAGAAATATGGAGTTGGAGTCATTGATCCCAGTAAGATATTTGATTTCTACAATGATCTTCATAGCTATCTGGCAAGCAATGGTGTAGACGGAGTCAAGGTGGACGTCCAGAATCTGATTGAAACTTTAGGTTCTGGATGTGGAGGTCGAGTGATGTTGACTAGACAGTATCAGGAAGCACTTGAGAAATCTATTTCAAGAAACTTTAAAAAAAATAATCTAATTTGTTGCATGAGTCACAACTCTGACTCAATTTACAGGTTTTCATCTTTCCTGCCTTTTGAATCTTAAAATATGCAACGCCAAGTTATATGCAGAACTGTCTTGTAATTCTGATTAGAGTGAATATTTGTTGACAGTTCGAAGAGAAGTGCAATTGCAAGAGCATCAGAGGATTTCATGCCAAGAGAGCCGACATTTCAGACCTTGCACATTGCGTCTGTAGCTTTCAACAGCTTTCTTCTTGGGGAGATTGTTGTTCCAGACTGGGACATGTTCCATGTAAGATATCTTGCATATTCCGAAAATGATATCTAATAAACATGTAGTTGAATATTCTGTATCATGCATGGAACCTGGTATAATTATCAAAATTTTCATGAGTTGCATGAATGAAAATCTTTGTATTACAGAAACTGTCCGCAGTTGAAACCCAGTGAACAGAATTTAAAAAAAAAATTACAAATAGACATCATTTTTGTATCCAGATGCTAAAAAAAATTAAGCATAGGTATTATAACAATTAATTACAAATAGAAGTGGAAACTTTCTTTTCTTTTCTTTTCTTTGTTTTTTTTTAATGAGAAATAGTAATGAAGCTTAACGTTACAGAAACAAAAGTAATATTCATTCTTGGTTTTCAGAGTAAACATGATACTGCTGACTTCCATGGTGCTGCAAGAGCATTGGGTGGATGTGCAGTATATGTAAGGTGAGGCAAAACGATTAAGACCCTTCTTTCTTTTGATTTTTGAATCTCCTGGAAAAATCTATGCAATTCTTACATACCTTTCATTGCAAAAATATTTTATTATTTCATATGAATACAGTGACAAGCCAGGCATTCATGACTTCAAAATCCTTAAGAAGCTCGTGTTGCCTGATGGGTCTATCCTGAGAGCTAGACATGCTGGCCGTCCCACAAGAGATTGCTTATTTGAAGATCCTGTCATGGATGCGAAAAGGTGAACATGCTATCCCAGATTACAATCCCAAGTGTGTCAATAGTAAACATCCATCTGGCCTTGTACTAATCAGTTTGTGCTTTCAACTCTTTTGTAGTTTGTTGAAGATATGGAACTTGAACAAGTTAACTGGGGTCATCGGTGTTTTTAATTGCCAAGGAGCAGGAAGATGGCCCATGAAACAAGAAGCTGAAGAAATACCAGCTGTGCCTTCCGGGCCTCTATCCCTTTCAGGTCATGTGAGTCCTATTGATGTTGAATTTCTCGACGATATTGCCGGTGAAGATTGGAATGGAGATTGTGCAGTCTATGCTTTCAATTCAGGTTAGTTTTCCAATCCATCATTTTCTTGATCTTATCAGATACTCTGCATCCAAAACCAACTTATCTAGAATTTCTGGTGAATTATTTCCTGTTGCAGGATCTCTTTCCATGCTGCCAAAGAAAGGGATTCTTGAAGTGTCCTTGACCACTCTAAAATACGAGATATATACCATCTCTCCAATTAAGGTCAGTAAATTGACCTCCTTGCTTTACCATTATGTTATCTTCCTGTAAAGTCTACTCAGAACCAGGGTGATTTATCATGTAACAGGTTTTTGGTCAGAATCTTCAGTTTTCTCCGATAGGATTGCTTGACATGTACAACTCGGGAGGAGCAGTCGAAGCTGTAAACTGCATTATCGATGTTTCATCTTGCACGGTCAAAGTCAATGGCCGAGGCGGTGGCCGGTTTGGAGCCTACTCCAACACTAAACCAACCTTTTGCAGGGTGGACATGAAAGAAGAAGAGTTCACTTACAACGACAATAATGGATTATTGACAGTCAAACTTGAATGCACAGGCAATTTAAGAGAGATTGAATTCATATATTAGGGCGTTTGTCTTTCCATGGAAATATGCATTCTACGAAAGTTCAAGAGTTCCATTCCAGGATTGGGCTTTAATTGATTCTGTACACACGATTTTTTAAGCCTTAAATTAAGCAATCACAATTGTATAAATATTTGATTTAATAAAATATATGATTGTGTACCCTTTTTATTTAAAATATTCTTATAAACAAAACATGTGAATTTTTTTCTTGATTTATTCGTGAAATCAAATTAATATTTATGTTTTATGAGGATGTGAATTTAGGTGTATACTACAAAGAATGATCTTATGTTTTAAAGAGTATATTTGATTTATTTTTAAAATATTGTTGGAGTATATTCTTATAAGGTATTTGAATTTGATTCAATAACATAGATAAAATAAATTTAAGAGTTTTTAGTACACATTATATAAAAAGAACTTGTTTTGAAGAAAATTTTGTAATTTCAATAATTTTTTTTCTTTTTAACTAAGGTGAGAACTTTTATTTAGAGAGATTTGTAGAGTTTTTTAGGCTCTTTTTCAATACCACATGATATTATTTTATTGATTAATTTTTATTTATGTGATCTTGTATTTATAATTAGATAACTTATTTCTTTTTCATGTTATTTATTTTAATTTTATATCATATTTTTAAATAAAAATAAAATAAAAATGACATATAACAAGATTTGATTAATAGAAAATTTTTATTTATACATATGACTCTCAAAACAAGTTTACTTACATTTAGAAATAAATGGTTATATCTTAAAAGTACAGTGAAGAGAATTTTAAACTTTTGAATTTATTTTTGACTAAGATTTAATTTATTATTTTAAATTTTTTCAATTCTCCTATTTAAGCTTTTATGTACATGAACTTGTTATTGATTTATTTGCTAAAAAGTCGTCTTTTGAAAGTATTAAATATTTAACTTTTTTGTCATTAGAGATTTTCTATGAATTTTATGGTCAAGGTGGTTAGTGTCAGGAAAATTAACAACTTCAATTCTTCTTTCTACATTTGATATCCTTTTTGGTTGATTTATCATTATTACACTAAAACAAGCATGCTACTTATAAGAATTATTTTTTAATATCTAATATACTTGAGTATGTTTTTAAATATTGAGAATGGATAGAAGATGTTTCAAAATATTATGAGCTGTTTTTTTTTTTAAATAAATATTCAAGATACTATTTTTTTTATATTTTTTTATATATAATTGACAGATGAATGTTATCTATTTTTTCTATAATCATTAAGATTTTTTATTGATTTTTAGATCACATATTAATATTTATTTTAATATTTCATGTAAATATCTATATTTTATCATGATAATATAATTAAAAGAAATTCACACACTTTATTATATATACAATTTAAAAATTTTTCTTAGAGTTCTTGTTTTGTTTTCATGATTATATTCATTTTAATCTTGAATAACTTTGGTTTAATGAATGTTTTAAAGAATTTAATTTTTTAAAATTTTTAAAGAAATGAATCATATTTATCATTCATATATAATATTTTATTAAAAATATTCTTCTATTCATATATAATATTTTATTAAAAATATTTTATTAAAAATATTCTTCCATATCTTGTATGATAAACTAATATATAAAAATTATTAAGATGACAATTCATTCCTTCCTCTCATACCATAGTTAGTATTTTTTTCATTATGAAAATAATATAAAATTATTAATTTTTAATGTTATTAAAAGCTTCATGTGACTTAATTTTTCTTTTAAAACTAAATTTTTATTTCTTTCAACTGTAAGGATTTTAAATTGATTCTCCTGATAAACTATACACAAAAAAAAAATCATGAAAAAGTAGTCAATTGTGAGATCGCTAAATCTCCGACTTAAATGACAAGTCGTTTCTTACGAAAGACACCCTTCATATTCCGTAACAGAATCTTCAAGAAGCCCACTACCAAATCTGAAAGGCCCACAATTGCAGTCCATGAAAATAGATAAATAAATAAAAACTTCTGTAGCATTAAAAACCATCCTCTCTTTGCAGTCTGCCTCTTATCCTGTACCTTCTAAACCCCTAAAAACCATCCTCTCTTTGCAGTCTGCCTATTATCCTCTACCTTGAACTCTCCTATCCTCTCCTCTCCTCTCTCTACAGCATGTCTGCTACAGCTGCTTCCACCTTGAAGCCTTTGCTAATGGCAGAAACATGCATCTGTTCGTTCCCTTCAATTTTCACTTCAAAACCCCCACTAAAACCTCTCCCTATCTCACATAGACCCATCAAGCTCCAACTCTCATACTCTCACTCTTTATCAACGTTCTCTGTAAAACCCAAAACCCATTTATCTTTAACGATCCCTTTTGTGGCCCAGACCTCAGATTGGGCTCAACAAGAAGAAGAAAACAACGCCACTATCACTTTAACTGAGTCAGAACAAGAAGACTCCAATTCGGAAAATGAAGAAAGTAATGATTTTGAAGGTAGAGTATCCGATTGGGAGGCTGAAGGGGAGGATGCATCTGCTTCCGAAACCGAAGCTGTTGGAGGTGAAGGAGAGAGAGGTGACGAGGAGGGGTTTGTGGAGCCACCGGAAGAAGCTAAGATTTATGTAGGGAATTTGCCTTATGATGTTACTAGTGAGAAGTTGGCTATGCTATTTGATCAAGCTGGAACTGTTGAAATTTCTGAGGTAAATAAATGTCCTTGTTTGTTTGTTTTGAATATTTTCTTTGTAGTGTGTTTCAAGGTTTTTATGGAGGCTTTGTTTTGAGGGGTTGTAGGTTATTTACAACACGGAAACTGATACAAGTCGTGGCTTCGGGTTTGTGACGATGAGTACCGTTGCTGAGTCTGACAAGGCTATAGAAATGTTCAATCGTTATGTAAGTTTCTTCCTTTATTATTATTATTATTATTATGTGTTTTTTTTGTTGAACTTTTGGTTATATGTGATTTGGAACGATATAAGACTAGATGTTAACTTTTAATAGATGCTATAAATGATTGAAAGGGAATAGGTAGGGGGGGAGATGTCATGTGATGCTTCTATGCCTTTAAGGTTAGAAGAAAGATGCTGGCTTTGTGGAATTTTCCTTGCTCTAATTAATTGAGCTTCCTGTTTGGTTCAGATGGCTGAGTATTTTGTATGGTATGAGAAGAAAAACTATCATTTATGGTTGAGTAACATTACTTTGTTTTTGTTTTGAAGATAGCATTCATGTGGGATTCAACTGTATATGATAATTAGAGTGGCGCGTTAGGTCATTTAAATATACAATCAGAAAACATGTGGTGAAACCCCAAAGAAGTGTTGCTAGGGTGAGCGCCTTTTATTTAATTTTAAGGTGGGGCACATTGCTAATAATGGCCCAATTGGTGTAGAGGTATGACGTGATAAATCCTTATTGGAGATTACATGACTCAAGAAAAATGTTGTAGATCATGATTTATTTATTTATTTTATTTCGTATTTTTTTAGGTGACCGTTATAAGCTGGAGCTTATTGTTTTCATAAAGCTATGTTATCATCTTTGTCTTGCATGTGATTTTTACCAACAAGATGCTGTTTAAACTATGTACTTTTACTGGACAGGATGAAACTTGCTTATCTAGTAAGGCAAGCATGTTATTTATTGAGAAAATGTCCTGATCTTGGGATTAGTTGCAGATAATAAAAATTACAATTGTCAATAGTCAAACACCAAATCTTTGCATGGAAATTGATGACCATTTCATTTGTTTTTCCTGGATGCTGGAAGTGTTTCATATTTTCCATGCTGTACTGGTTTTAATACATGTACCAAGTGCTCTGTTTTGTTTCAGTGCTTTGACTTGATGAGTTAATATTGGCATGCTGGCTAAAATTCAAATGCTAATTTTTACAAGTAGATTAATGCATTGTTCATACAACATTTCTTCAACTTGGCATAGTGGATTATGATTTAATGTTCTACTTCATTAGAGTTAATTCTTAAGATTAAGTGATTAACGTTAGTGATAGACGTTCTCCTTGTTAATCAAGTCGTAACAATTAGAAAATCATCAAATCTTGCAATGACTTGTTCTACTTCATTAGAGTTAATTCTTAAGATTAAGTGATTAGCGTTAGTGATAGATGTTCTCCTTGTTAATCAAGTTGTAATAATGAGAAAATCATCAAATCTTGTGATGACTTTTTTTTTTCAATTAACCAAGCTGTTTTCTGTTTGATATTGTACTGAACAGAACTTAGATGGAAGGCTCTTGACTGTAAACAAGGCTGCTCCTAGAGGATCAAGGCCAGAACGCCCTCCTCGTGTGTCTGAACCCAGCTATAGAATCTATGTGGGCAACCTACCATGGGGAGTGGATAGTGGTCGTCTTGAGGAAGTCTTTAGCGAACATGGTAAAGTTGTGAGTGCTCAGGTTGTTTCTGACTGGGAGACTGGCCGTTCACGTGGTTTTGGCTTTGTAACCATGTCCTCAGAGAGCGAGTTGAATGATGCCATAGCTGCACTTGATGGACAGGTATGACTTTGAGTGCTTAGTTTTGAAATTCATAACTTTTGTATGTGGAAAGGCAACTACTGCACTATAAGTATGGTCAATTCATTAGGAAAAAAGAAAGAAAAAAAGAGGGCTGATAACTTGAGTTCTTCAGAATCCAGATTATCTTCTCAACACTGGCATCAATCTATCAATAGTAATCTATTCTATAAGGACCAGCAGCATGCCCTTCAAATTTCTGTTTGATGATATGCACGCTTCTGGTTTTGCAGGATCTGGACGGGAGAGCAATTAGAGTAAATGTTGCTGGGGAAAGACCAAGGCGCAGCTCCTTTTGAACTGATATGAATTGAATAGATATCCTGCCGCCGGTTATCATTTTCCTTTGTTCTTTTTTTTTTATCCATTTGTTTTTTCTCATATCAGTTTTGTGGTATCAAGTTTTTTGGCCAGTTGAATGGAAGCTCACTAGGAGTTTTGTACGCATATTGTCTTCACAGTTCATAAAAATTGTTTCGCGGATTCGAGGACATTGTGCTCTACGAGATAATATATTAAATTTGTTGGCACAACATCAAGTCTCAGACAATCCAATAATGGAACTTTCAGGATGCTGAAATATGTTAGGCCAAGGACATCCATGAAGAAGTCGGGTTTGAAACGTGGTCCGGTGGCAGGCATCTGGCCGTGCGCACTCAGCTGGCTGGGGACATGGTTTTTATTTGTTTCTGGCCCTCCTGGATGGAAAAAACACCAATGTTCATAGATCCTGGTGAGAAGACCGGCTGGTGAAATCTCAAAGCAGAAACAGTGCTGTCTTCTACATGCCTGCTTTTCTCTCTAACCACTCCCCATCTCCTTGGAATTATGCACAGGACTTGAACCCCATATCAGTGATCTGCTGTTTCCAATTGGAATATGGATACTGCTTCTGCTCGTGACACAACTCGTGCACCCGGAAAACGAGAAGGCAAACGAATTAAACGTTTTTCTTAGGGTGCTTAAAAAGCAGTGCCTCTGAAAAATTACGACAATTAAGTTTCATGTAGTTGTAGCCTTATTTTTAGATCCATAAAAAGATAATTTCACTACTGCTTAGCAAGTTTACAGTCTCTGTTGGCCGTATAAAAAAAATGAAGGCAATAAAAAATATTGAAGTTTTAGAGAATTATTTAAGATTTTTATTAGATTTGCTCTAATTAGTTAATTTAATCTGTTTTATTATTTAATTTAGATTTAAAATTAAATTATATAGAAATTATTTTATGAGTCGTATCCTAGTTGATCATTAAAAACAATCTTCCCGGCTAATTTTTTTTTTTATAAATAAAATAAACACCAAACAGCAATGAAAAACAACCAGCAAAGATAGATGCTTGGCACTTTAGACCTTTATCACTTTAAACATTTATTCAAGTGCATGTCTGAATTTTATTATGCATGTTTGAACTATGTATGCTTAATGTACGGTTGTTGGTTGAACAAATTTCCCGGTTTAGAACTGGTGTCTTGTGATGTACAGTAATTTATTTATTTATAATGGTAACTGTAATGAAGCAGTTCAACCATCCACCAACATGCACAAGCTAGAGTTCAAGGTTTTTCTTGCAGCAGATACGCAACTTCCAATGACCGACGACCGGTCAAAATATATGTAAAAATAGTTCCTTAACTCTGCTGTAAAGTGAAAATGACACCCTTCTAAGGAATTGTTGATTAACATGGATTTCAATCAGCTGAAGATAAGGACAAGCAAAGATATAAACAAGAGATGGAAAATATATATTATTTACAACTCTAAAGCACGAGCTCAGGAGGGTTTTCTGAACACCATACTTGGCAGAATCTCATACATCTGCACAAATTCTGAAGTAATGGCATCAGCATTTCTCCGACAACCTCACACCTCTAGTTAAAAGACATTCCAGCCCTAATAACCCCGCAATTGGGCATCTCGACTTGTTAAAGGGACATATCGAACAGAAGTTTCACTCCGAACACTGATGGAACCATCCTCCTTCTTGTCAACCACCTTCAAATCCTGAAATATGTTACCAACTGGAATCACCATCCTGCCACCAGGCTTCAACTGATCGAGAAGTGGCTGTGGGATTTCTGGTGCTGCTGCCCCAACATGTATGGCATCATATGGAGCAAACTCTGGCCAGCCTTCTCTTCCATCTACAGATAAAAATAACCATTGAAGCTCAGTTGCTAACATTGTTAAAGCTGATTTCTGTTGAAAATTCATCAGCAGAAGATTCAACTTCTTTCAGCAAACACGTTAAGTTAGCCAAAGAAAAAACTTGCCATGGAAATCCTTTTTTTATGACCTTTACCTACAGGAGCTATGACATTCATAAAAATCTAACAAGAGGACTTCCATATGAATGCCTACTACGATTTGTATAAAATTTAAGGAAATCTCAAGTTACTGTACTGTTACAGCAAGTAGATTAGCACCTACACTCTTCCCTTGGGATACAAAAGAACATTCAAGACAAAAATATTATTTGCAAGGTTGAAACATACCACCAACATGAATTGAGAGGGAACCTTCTTTCAACAATGGGGCAGCTGCGCTTTTCTCAATATTCTTTAAGGAAGAATTAGCCAGCTCTGGAATATGTTCCACACCAACAGCACGACCTTGTGGTCCAACCATCAAAGCAAGGCATGCTGTCAAATACCCAGTCCCTTCAAAAGTAAACAAAGTAAGAAACTCAGGATTTAATTGCAAGCAGAGAGAAATGTTCTAGAACTATAAATGCATGAGTTTCGTTATTCTTAAATTAAGTCTACCCACTACAACCAAGCTAAGCAAGCCCTACTCCCACCCCCTACCACTGTAGAACGAGTTTACAATCAATGATGCCTGCACTCACCCAGAAGCTTTGCACAACTAATGACAATCATCAAGACCATTGGGTTCTATTGACTGTGGTCAACAGCAATTGAAACAATTTAGAAAAAAAAAATGAGCTAATTGAAACAAATTTCTAAAGTTGCTTTGCTTGTTATAGTTCTTAAAACTTTACAAATTCCAGTCCACTTCCTAGTTGAATCAGGATTGTACATCATAGTTCCCTTCCTGTTTCAAAATCCTAGTTAGATCCAACTAGGAATATCAGGTCACAGAATAAGATCTCAAACTTGTTCAGCATCACGACATACAGCATTGTCCGATATTTTTATATGCTTAAAGCCTAGTTATTTCACATCTAAAACTATCATGTTTGTTTGTTAACACTAAGTCTTAAAGAGACCTCTACAAGTAGCCCTTAGAATGAAATTGAGTAATTTATAATGCAGAGATGAAAGGATTAATGGAGATAGGAAGGATGAAAGGGAAAAGCACCTGAGCCAACATCTAGGGCATGCATTCCAGGCTTCAAATTCTCCTCCAACAACTGCAGGCAAGTTGCATGCATATGAGGTGCAGAAATGGTGGCATTGTAACCTATCGCCATGGGACTGTCAACATAAGCTGGAGTACCATCTGGCACAAACAAAGCCCTGTCGATAGTTTCCATTACTTCCGAAACCTTTTTAGAACTGATGACCCCATAATGCTGCAAATGCTCCACCATTGCTTTATTTTTATTGATGCTACTTCCAGACCAGAATCGCTGAAAATTGACAAACAGAATGTTTAAAACAATATTCAAACAAAAAGATGATAACAAAACACGTCTATCAGGATGCATAAAGAACATAATGACAAGTTATGTGCAATGGGAAAAAACACATAAAAGCTCAGTTGTTCCTATATAGAGAAAAGGAACACCATATTCTTGAAAAACAAATTGCTGATATCAGTAGCACAACCAGAGACCATCGAAATAAACACCACTATTTATGATGAAGTCATATGAACGCATTGAAATCAGGTAGATAACAAGGAACTGATATCTCTATAGGAAAAATTTTCTCATGGGTGACCTCCACATTAGAAAAGGCTATGGGCTGACTTTGGAGGTCCAGAACCCCTGGGCTTGGGAAAAATTGTGCATCACTACTATGGAAGTAATTGGCCCCACTAATGAAGGCAAGAAGAACATAGTATGTCCACCCAACTTGAAACATATTTCCCTGAAATCACACGCATCAAACATCCCACAAAGGATTACATTTATTGAGGGCGCATCTCAACAAGTACTTTCACAGCACAATATTATGAATGCAACCAACCTTTGTAATGATTACTAGCAAGACACTCATCTAGAATCTGAAGTCACCATACTTTTTCACATAAGCAAATCCATCAATTCCTACTTTCTACAGCTTTTCAGGACTATTTTTTGGAGATACTTCAAGGAAAAACTCAAACCCCTTGGATTCTATGGTGAAGTACCTAAAAGTATATTTGTTGATCACTCAAGCAGCTAAAGCTGAAATCAACCTGCGTGGGGATATATTTTTGTTGGGGGCAATCGAACTTAAAATAGTCATCCTGAACTTACACACTTAACCACTGCATTGCATTTCCACTTGCATTATAAACAAAGTGATCTAGAACAGCTTAGCTTATTGTTCACCTGTCAGCGAATGAATTTTACTTCGCACTACAAACTTTGACTGCAAAAACCATTCCGCAGCCAATGACCCAGAAATAGAACTTCGGATCATATGAACTCTATTATAAGCAGCATTCATCACAGGATAAATCAAATGTGAACATAGCAATCAATCAATTCAGTGAAAGGGTTATCCTAAAATCACAGGAAAGAATAAATTTTATGGGGAAAAACCCGCATCAACAAATTCTCAGATTGTAGAGATCAACAAAAACTAAACCAAATGGTTATCTTTTGTATTATCTTTTATATATAGATATTCTCAAACCAAGAAAAAAAAATCATAAATTTCTCCTTAAACAAAAACAAAAACACTCATTATTTCACTTTCAAATAACCCACTGATTAACAGTCCAAAAAACAAACAAGTTCCGAAAATATCAAACAAATTCGACAACATAGCTTAAAAAATAAAAAAAATAAAAAAAAAGCTCGCGACTTCGCTTTAATCCAACCACAAAAAACACCCATTTCCTTACTTTAGCAGATAACCAGTTATTTCTGAGCAGCAAGAATACAAAAGGAGAAAAGAGAGAAACCAAAATGGTGCAGGTGTTACCTCCATCCTGAAGAAAAGAGAGTTACCCGTGAGGAGACAATTAAGGTTTGTTGGGAAAAATTTAAAACAGAAGAGAGAGGTAAGTTGAGATGGAATATTGTTACAGCTGCTGCGATGATAAAGATAGCGAAGGAGAGCGGTGTCGTTGTAGTTGTCGGCTAAGAGACGCTTAAGAGGAGGCGAGTAGTTGCGGCAACCATACGCTATGACTCCTGCTGGCAGGGATAGAGAAATAGGCATGAGCAAAAGCGGCCTAGGCATTTTTTTCCCCCTTTCTTTTCAATAATAATAAAAAAGTACACTTGTCAGCTAATTAGCAGGGATGACACGATGGCTGCTTTTGCTGGGGGATTTTGGGCTGGTTTGAGTGTTTATGGGCTTCATATGCCTTGTTGGGTCCTTGGTGATTACTTGTAGTATTTTTTTATGATAATGT